TTACTTACAATTGGTATCAGAGTAAGTTATAGGTAACCTGTTCCTAGAGATCCAAAATGGCTTCCGCAAATCAAAATCCTATTTTCAGAGATGGTGGTAATAACAACAAGCCTCCTCTATTATGTGGTGAATATTTTGACTTCTGGAAAATACGCATGAAGTCACATCTAGAAGCACAAGGAGAAAAAATATGGGATGCCGTAAAAAATGGTCCATTTATTCCTATAACGGTGATCAATAATGCTGGTTCATCAAAGCCTAAAACTGCATGAGATGAAGATGATAAGAAAAAGGTTCTCTATGATAAAAAGGCAATCAATCTTCTTCAAGGTGCAGTTAGCATGGATGAATTCTTCCGTGTCTCGACATGCAAAACGAAGAAAGAAATATGGGATACCTTGGTATAAACTCATGAAAGAACCGTTGAAGTTAAACGATCAAGATTAAATACTTTAAGTCAAGAATATGAGTTATTTTGAATGAAGCCCGGAGAATCCATCCTTGACTTGCTGAAAAGATTCGTGCACTTGACAAATCATCTAAGTGCTCTTGGTAAGACTTTAACTAATGATGAACTAAATCTGAAAGTGCTTAGATCTTTAACTAGGGAATGGAAACCAAAAGTAACGATAATTTATAAAAAGAAAAGTCTTTCTGCAATGACGTCCGCAACGTTGTTTGGAAAACTTCAAGAATATGAAATGGAACTCGGAAGACTTGAAAAGCATGAAAATAAAGAGAAGAAATCCAAGAATATTGCTTTAAAGATTGATTCCAAGGAAGTTGAAAAGGAAGACAATCCAGAAGAAGATGAAAATTTCATGCTTCTTGTTAAAAGGCTTGGTAAGTTCTTTGGTAGAAATAACAAATCTTTTTCTCATGTAAAAAGAAAGAAACAATTCAAGAAAAAGGAAGTTTCCACATCAACACAAGAAGTCACATGTTATGAATGCGGTAAGCAAGGTCATATAAAGCCGGATTGTCCGAAACTCTCCAAGAAAGGTGGCTACAAAGGCAAAAAGTAATTTAAGAACAAAAATGCCTATGTTGCATGGGGTTTCCTAAGAGAAATTTTGTCAAAGATATACTTTGTGATGCATGTAAAAAAGGGAAACAAACAAAATCAACTTTCAAATCTAAGAATATGGTGCCTACTACAAGGCCACTACAATTGTTGCATATGGACTAATTTGGTCCATCAAGAACAAGAAGTTTCAGAGGTAATGTATATGCCTTGGTTATTGTTGATGATTTCTCTAGATATACTTGGACATTATTTTTAGTGCAGAAAAGTGATGCATTCAAGTCTTTCAAGAAGTATGCTAAGCAAATTCAAAATGAGAAGTTTTTAACAATTGCCTCCATAAGAAGAGATCATGGCGGGGAATTTCAAAATGCTCTCTTTGAAGAATTTTATGGAGAACATGGAATCTCTCACAACTTCTTGACACCAAGGACTCCTCAACAAAATGGAGTGGTGGAAATAAAGAATAGATATCTTGTAGAACTTTCAAGAACAATGCTTAGTGATTCAAATCTTCTAAAATATTTTTGGACGGATGCGGTAAGCACGGCATGTTTTGTTAGCAATAGAGTTAACATAAGACCAATCTTGAAGAAAACTCCATATGAACTTTTCAAAGGGAGGAAACCAAACATTGCTTTCTTTCACATTTTCGGTTGCAAATACTTTGTCTTAAACAATGACAAAGATAACCTTGGTAAGTTTGATGAAAAATCCGATGAAGGTATTTTTCTTGGCTACTCTCTTACTAGTAAGGCATATAGAATATATAACAAAAGAACTTTAACAATTGAACAGTTAATACATGTATCTTTTGATGAATCTAACCCCTCCAAGGAGGATAATGTTGTTTGTAATGATGATGATGATGAAATATTAGAAGTTCCTCAAGAAAATACTTCTAAAGATGTCAATAAGGATCAACTGATTCAACAAGAATAAGTATCTCAACAAGAATCAAATATCAATGATCTACCAAAGGAATGGAGAACTCATAGAGATCATCATGTCGATAAAGTAATTGGTGATAGAAGTCAAGGTGTGACAACAAGATTAAATCTTGAAGATGCTTGTCTAAACATGGCGTTTGTCTCTCGAATTGAACCTTCCAAAGTTGATGAAGCCTTAGGCGATGACCAATGGATTATTTCTATGCTCGTCGCAAAAGGCTTCCATCAACGGCCCGACTGGGATTTCCATGAGACGTTCAGCCCCGTGGTCAAACCGGTTACTGTTAGAGTCATTCTTACGTTAGACGTCTCCAAGGGTTGGCACTTGCGTCAACTCGACATCAACAATGCATTCTTGCAAGGTTCACTTTCTGAGGAGGTGTACGTATGCCAACCTCCAGGCTTCACAGATCCATCTCATCCCAACCATGTTTGCCGGCTCAACAAAGCTCTGTATGGTCTTCGACAGGCACCGCGGGCGTGGTACACTGAACTCCGCTCCTTTTTACTCAAAATTGGTTTTGTAACCTCTGCGGAAGATGCGTCACTTTTCATCCATTCCAGTGGGTCAATCTTTCTTGTATTATTGGTATATGTGGATGATATTATCGTCACCGGAAACACCGACACAGCCGTGACCCAACTTGTTCAACGCCTTGCTGCACAATTCTCTCTCAAGGATTTAGGCACCTTGTCATATTTCCTGGGTGTTGAAGTAATCCCACATCACTCTGGTGGCCTCTTTTTGTCTCAAAGAAAATATATCAGTGATGTGCTCATCAAAGCTGGCATGGAGGATGCCAAACCAGTCACAACACCACTCTCTGCATCAACTCCCCTACTCAAAACAGAAGGTGAACCACTTCCCTCACCCACCGATTATCGTTGTATCGTCGGCAGCTTGCAATACCTAAGCTTAACCCGTCCTGATGTTGCATATGCAGTCAATAGACTGTCCCAATTTATGCAACATCCCACATCATCTCACTGGGCTGCTCTCAAACGCTTGCTTCGATACCTTGTCGGAACTATCGATAGGGGAATCGTTGTTTCTCCCAGCCCATCCACAACATTACATGCCTTTTCCGATGCCGACTGGGCTGGTGACAGGGACACTTACGTCTCCACAACTGGATTCATAATTTATCTCGGTTCCACCCCTATCTCTTGGGGCTCCAAAAAGCAAAGAGTTGTGGCTCGTTCCTCCACAGAATCCGAGTACCGAGCCCTCGCAGACACTGCATCCGAAGTTCTTTGGCTCATGTCTCTCCTCAAAGAGCTCCATCACAGGATCCATCAACCTGCCATATATTGTGACAATATGGGTGCCACCTTTCTCTCATCCAATCCTGTATTCCACTCTAGAATGAAACACATTGCCATCGTCTATCACTTTGTTCGGGAGAATATGCAACGTGGTGTTTTCCGGGTAACTCATGTTTCCACTGGCGACCAGCTCGTCGATGTTCTGACGAAGCCTCTCCACCGTCCCCAGATTGAATTTATCATCAACAAGCTCGGACTTTCCCGTCGGCCGTCCAACTTGCGGGGGCATGTTAGAGAATTAAATTAATGTTATTTAATTTAATTATTTGTTATTATTTATTCAACTAAACTCGGTCAATGTTGTTAGTTTATTCATGCCTAAAATCTTGGTCTGTATATCATGTTAGTGGCCTTATGGAGAGGTTTTAGGAATCTCTATAACTGTCACATTTACTCTTGTATAAGAGGCAAAATATCAGTTAATAAAATAACACATAAAACATCTTCAAATATCGTTGTCTTATAGCGGCTATCGTCACCATCACCTTAAACCACCATAAACAAACATTTCGTCCTCCTCTCATCTTCGATCGTTCCCTCTCGGCTAACGCTCCAATAAAACACCGCCGTTAGCATGTTCCGCGGTGGGTACCAACCTCTAACACCATCGATTATCAACCTCAGACTCCTGCAGATTCGTCCTCTAAAGCTCTATATCTCGAATGATGAAGAAGGAGAGGATGGTGCGTATGAAACTGGAAAAAGAAGGAATGAAAGGGGTGAAGGGTGAATAATTGTGAGAGAATGAGAGAAAGAAGATGGAGGGGAAAGAGTGAGAATGAAGAAATTGTTATTGTGATGGGTGAAAGTGAATTGAAGAGTGATGAAAAGGTTATATAGTTGATGTAGATTGAGAATCAGTTGGGGATCAATCAATCTGAGCCTTAGGATTGGAGGATTCGGTTATGAGGTTAATGGTGTTGATGGAGTCGGTTAGGTGACAGTTAAGTATGAGCTGGAAGTTAGTTAGAAGCTCTCTGAAAGTTAGTTATATTATGTTAGAGTTAGTTTGTTTAGGTTAAACTAATTAAAGTTAGCTTTGCCCTTGGTTATTATATTTGGATGTATGTGATATGGATGTGAAATTCCGTTGAATTTGGATTGACTGTCATGTGAATTACCATTTGGATTCCAACTTGAATATGTCTTTTATTCATAAGATTTATGTATGCTTGATTGTTTAGCCTGAAGTGAACTTGAATGTACGTATTTGATGAACTTGAATACGAGTGCTTGGACTTTTGGTTCTGAATTGTTTTTGAATTGTTGGAATGAAGTTGAATTGATCTTGAGTTGATGAAGTTTGCCTTGTATGTTAGGTTGAAATAAATTATGACTGTAAATGGTTTTAGACAGATTGACAAGTGTTATGGAATCTTGCAAAATAGAGAAGCATGGCGTTCTAACTTATGATTTAAGTTCACTTTGTGATTCCATCTTTTTGAGTTGATTCTGTGGCATGCCTGAATGTATCAGAGGCTTTCAAGTTCCATCTGTTTTTATCATTTTACATATTTTATTTTTTCTGTTGTAAACTTGAGCTGTCAGTCATGTTTCAATTGGCTTTGTTTGATGTTCTAGTGTATTTTTTCCAGGAGGTTTGAATTATCTTCAGGACAACCCTGTTTGGTTGATGTGACATGAAGAAGACTGCTGATACCTACCACCAAGAGGAGGATGAAAATTTTGGTGATCGAACCATGATGGAAGAACATCCTGTGTGCGTTTTGTTTATATGTCCACTGTTTTTCTGTATAAGATGCATTATGGCTTGCTCGATTTTTCTGTGTACTGCACCTCCTTTGAAGCATGTCTGGATATGTGTTAACTTCATGAAATTTTGCATAGGTGAACCAATTCTGTAGCATGCTTTTATCAATCCCCCACATGCATCTTGTTTGATCTTGCCACTATACTTGTTTACCATGAACTGACTCGATGTCGAGGGGAGTTGCAATATGCTGCTTGGTGATGTTAATTGTTTTTTCCCAGATTAAGTTATATGTGGACATGAAATGTAGTAATGTCATGGATTGTTTGGATTCTCTTGTGTCAAGTTCTGAACTACTTTATATAATGTGCAGGTTGTGTTTAAGGCATGAACAGGTTTGGCTTAGATTTGAGCATGGTGATGTGGAAGACATAGTGGAAATAGGTCTTGGGGAATCAACCGTCAAGAGTTTTCCGAACATCAGTGGCCAACAAGTGATAACTTTCTTTTTGCTTGTAATTTTTACTTTGAACATTCTTCTTTGTAATGGCTTCTGTTTTGCTGTAATGACCTTGGCTTGGAACTTTAAGCATTTGCAAGTGTATCTTGAATATTGTAATGAGCCTTTCGATGGAATGCTGTAACTTTGAACATGAGTGAATTTGAATGAACTTCAACTGATTTTGATGTCTTGAAGTGGTTCGTAATGTAATGGTTTTGGAAGGACATGTAACCTTGCAGTGAAGTGGAATTTGAATAAATTTGAATCAATCTTCTTTCAATCTTTAAATAAAAATCCAATTGCTCCAAGTACTCAACCTTTATATTTTTGCAATTATCTTCCCAACTTGTACCTTGAATAACAATTCTCCTCTTTTCTTTTGGAACTTTGAAGTTTCGAGACCTTTACCAATTTCAATTTAAATGGACCTTGTAATGCCTTGCACTTTAAGAAGTGAGATGACTTGTATCATTGATGTTCCAAAGTCTCTTAACAAATTATATCTTGACAACCTTAATCTCTTAACAAAGTATATCTTGACAACCTTAATCTCTTACTTAACGTTTAATAAATTGGATTAATCATCATGTTTCAAGTGTCTTCAAATGAATGGATGAACCTTGTAATCTTATTTTAGTGAATTTTCATACTTGAACATCAAATTTAATGAGCCTTAGTTTCTTCTAATTAATTGATCTATAAACCCTAATACTTCATAAGAACTTTAGGTTTTAGTCTTGAGACACTTGAATGAAATCCAGAGAGGATGGGTTGCATCACAAGTAAACCACCTAACTAAATGAAGCGCTTTTGCATCAACCCTAATTGTCATGAACATCAAGATCTCTTCAACGAACCGTACTTCAACCATGGCAAAAGCCTTTAGATGATAAGACACATAGATGATCCAAAATCCCTAAGGACCTTTCTTGAAAACCATAAGATTATGGAAATAAATCCTACTCAAATTGTGTTGACAGTTGACGTGAGCAGATGATGCTCATGGGTTCCCTATGCCGTAGTTCATGGCCTCTTGTATGACTTTGCATGATAACTTGCATTGTAAGCAAAAATGAGCACCTCTTGTATTGAGTGAAGCCAAAGGAAATTGAGAATAAGAGCACTAAAAGATGCACTGCAAACCTTGATTTTTTATCAGATAATCCTTGTCCAACAGACAAAACCTAATCCATGATCTTTGCATCTTTAGTTGAGATAAATCTGCAAAAGATAGAGAAACCCTAATGCATAAGCGAAACCTTGATTCCATGACCACTGATCTAAATCATGCCTTGTTGTTAATGAATACATGCAATGTTAGATGATCTAATGGAGGATATGAACATGAAAAATATGTGATGCATAATCCAGATGATTGGAATTAAAGGTAGAACAAATTTGGGGTATGACAATAGTTGCCTTCAGCTGAGGGACTCACCCATTACTGAGGGACTCATGTAACACCCTAAACCCCACACACAAAATATCACATACTTTATTTATAAATACAACCACATAGGGTGTCACACACATAAAAAACACACATCCTGCTCCGTAACACGAGTTTCAACATAATAGTTCAAAGACACATTTGTAATTGGGATGTTTACATGACATCCAACTCATCTTACGCATACCTGGAATATTTACACAATATCAAACTCATCTAATCGGTATCACATATACAAGTAATAAGATAGTCGTAACCTGCCATCACATGCTCGCCCAATTATTTAAGGTGTCATCACAACGAAATAATTAATAAAGTAATTAACAATAATATTGAAACTTGAGACAATTAGTCTCATAAACGTAAGTTTCATATCATGAGCAAAAATAGTTATAACAATCAACTCAAAACAACTTAGAAATCTCAACAACATAAATGGTCTTTAACTCCGACATATACAACATAAGAATCAATTTAAGCATTTATCCCAAACCGATCTTACATGATCAGAGCAAGGAACCACTAGTAAAAGCGATAAACTAATTAAGTAATTCCAAGGCTATCTTCTACTTACTTCAGCAGCGCTACTCCCGAGTATATGCCCAATGCCCATGTAAAGGCAACATTCAAACATAAGAGGTGATAATACAATTCAATAATTAACGGTAAAGGAAATCAGAAGTAGATTAACTAACAACATCACCCACCAATTACAACAACATAAACATATCAAGTATTCTCATCCACACACCATAACACCACAAATAATCACCAAATGCAACACAAATGCAAATGTACTCAACAACATACTCAACATGCATATTATGAACACTTAGGTCCATTTCACTCCATGATCTCCACCATAGGGTCGATTCTCTCTTGGAACCGGAGCACACCAAATTGCCACCATCACCATAGGTAACGTTTCACTAATTTCCCATAATAGGAATTAACTACTCGCACCCGATCCATCATCATAGGATCGATGCTCATCATAAACAACCTAAGTTCAGACAACATTAATGCATGGAATCTCAACATGCAACAACAACACAATCTCATTGCCTCTCTTTTGACCGTTTATGTTATCAACAACATAATCACCATAAACATATCATGGATATATTCAGAAATGCATCATCATTAACAACATTATCACAACAACATTATCGGAATCACATCATCAAAATCACATCATAACAATATCATAAACATCACATCATCAATATCTTAACAATATTATCATAACAGTATCAACATGACAACATCATTATCACACAATATTATCACAACAATACAACAATTCATTAACCGAACATATATACAAATAACTTCATCAACAAAGTAGACATAGGAATAATATTTAAACATTTCACCTATCACTATCATGTTATAAATCTGAGTGTTAGTTTCCTAACACTTCAAAGGACACGTCGTTTGGATATACGATTACAAAGTTATGAGGTAAAACATCAAGGCATGTTACAACTTCGAAACATAAAGTTTTTCAAAAAATACTACAACAACAATCGATTGTCAATGGATGACAATCAATTGTCATCAACTCCCAGGCTAGAAAATCACATTTTAAAAGCGTGACCATCGATTGATACTTTGGTGGAATCGATTGCCATGAGGTACTTTTCAAGAAATTCCAGTTTTCATGTTACGATCAATTAATCCAGTTTCTTGTTTTCCAATATAAATCAGTAGCAATTTTCAACATATGAAATCATCTCCATACAATTTTATCAAGATGAACTTGACCATTATTACAATTAACACAACGTCTCAACAATTGCTTCATGAATCATTCATCAAACTCATGTCCTAAAACGTCTAATTCACACCAATTTCATCATAGTTCAATTGATTTATGAACACCACAACAACAAATCAATTCACATGAACCTAACCTATATTATTGCATATGAAAACTGCATTATCATCATAATTCGAAAGAAACTGAAATCCTAGTCTATCCTTTCATCATACCCCTATTATTGAATCGAATTTTCATCCTTACCTAAATTCCTAGCAAGCAAAGCAATCTCTCTTGAATTCCTCTTCTTTTACCTCTAGCTAACCTTGCTTTTTCCTCTTTTTCTCTCCAATTCTACACACTGTCAAATGGTTTCTCTAAAAACCTAAATTTTCCAACTTTTAAAATAAATAGTAACCTCGTTACATTTGTCTAATTATTATTGTCCAAATTAATTCTAGCTCCTCTCTCCTTACCACAAACTTTACACAATTCACACAATTGAGCCAATTTTTATTTTTACCTATTTCTCTATTTATTTATAATAATAATAATAATATAATTATTTTTAAATTATTTTACCAAACTACTACATTCTCACCACACCCTTCTATTACTATTACATCCCAAACAACAATATAATTTGACTTAATAAAATGATTCTAAATTATTCTATCCACCTATGATGATCTTACCATGTCCGTGACTCAAAGATTCACGCCCCACAAACATTTCAACAATTAAATAAATCATTGAACATGCACAATTAATTAAATAAACTATAATAAATTATCCTATATACAAAACAGGATTTAACTCGCCCTTTAAATATAGTCACCTTCAATTAAAAGATTCATTGATAAAATCATAAATAAGAACATCCTCGCCTAAAAATCGTATCGTATCGTCCATCCGATAACTTGAAGACTCATCTAAAAATATTAATGACGTGTAAGAATGTTAGTCAAAGGAGAGAGTGTCCCCTACTAACTTCTGAAAAATAAATGGTGAAATATTTATAAAATCATATACCACGTTTGAGAGAGACATAAATTATTTAATAATCCTTAATATATTAAAACAAAATACTATCTTAACAATCTTTTCCTCCCAACTTCTCATTAAATCCATCAATATTTCACCCAAACTGCATTAAATTATTCAAATCTTTTATTTATTTTTTCATCTAAAAAACTCTTCATATTCTTAAACCTTCACCTTTTTCATATAAAAAACTCTTCATATTCTTAATTGATTTTTAATTTCATTCAACTCAAATATCAATAAATGATTTATTATATATTTTTATTATAGTCTCAAATATTTATTATTCAGTATTCTTTCTATTTCTAAATTTATCTTTTCTATATTATCCATAGATAGACAAGTTTATAAAAAAATATGAATTTTCTTTTCTATATAATAATAATTATTATTATATTATGTAAAATTTCATAACAAATATTATAATAATATATTTCTATTCCATATCTCAACCTGAATATCTTGATGTTACATTTTCATTCCAAATCTTAATTTTTTATGTTAATTTTAATGCTATATTTTTATTACAAAATTCGATCTGATCCTCCAACCAAGTAAACTTTTAATTCTATTCTCTAATATAAAAAATTGATACGTATCATGTACTATACTATAACTATTAAAAAAAAAAATTTGATGGTTAGTTTTCCTCTTTCCAAATTATTTATTATAAACATATAATAATAGTCTTAAAAAACGTTCATATAGATGTTATTAAACAATTATATTATGTAAATTTTCACGATGAATATTTTAATACTATATTTTCATTTCATATCGCGATATTAATATTTTAATGTTATATTTCCATTTCAATACTATATCTTTGTGTAAATTTTAAGGTTATATTTTCATTCTAAATTTCAATATGATTCTCTCATGTGCAATTTTAAATTATTAGAATAATCAAACGTTAAAAAACCTAAAAAAAAATATGATTTAAAGAAGAAATAACATTGCCTATATAATTTGTTGTCAAGTTAGTTATTCTTATTTATTTAATATTTTCTTATCAAATAAATATTTTTATATGTTTCTTATTTGGTAATAATTAAAATAATTTTATACATGTTTAATCAATTAATTTATTTATGTATTAAAAAAAGAGAATAATCATAATAATAATTTATTATAAATATCATGTAACAAGTATATGTAGGTAAAAAAATACTTAAATTTAATATTTTATTATATTGTCAACATCAAAAATACTTAAATTCAATATTTTATAATTTTTTATATTTCATTGTTTAAATGTTATTTAAAAAAAAAATTATTAAACATTTAACACATGTCATTAATTTAATTAATTATATTTTTTTTATATTAAATAAACATTTATTTTGATATTAAGAAACGTGATTGGATAAGGACAAGAATGCCACGTGTAGATGGAAGGTTCATAGAAAGGGTATACTTACACCTCACAGATTACACTTTTCCCCTTTTTCTAGATATATACGCTACCTAAATTAATTGCTTATGGAAATGCAATGCAACTTTTCGTTCTTTCTCTCTGACAAAATTACATTTGTACCCTTTTATTGACCAAATTTATTTGTTCTTATACGGAAAACTATTCCTTCTAGATTAGTATGAATTGAATATAGGCAAATAAGAAAACTAACAGCAAATTTAATTTTAAATAATTTAAGAAAATTAGTTTATTTTCTAGCTAATTAAACTCCTCTTTTGCGGCATATACGTGTAAAAAACAAAACAAAAGGAATCGAATGAAAAAAATGCATGATGATTTAACGCGTACAAGTTGCGTAACAAACAAGTATATATAAGTAACAAACACAAACGTGTTCAATTGAGTTTCGGTTTCTACACCTCACAAACAAAAACCTTTTGAGGGTTGGTTCCAATTCCAAATCATGTCTTTCACTTCTCATGCAGCTTCGAAATCGCAACCACGCAAGAAAACAAGCTTTACGAAACGGTGTTATTCTATGACGAAGCAACACAGAGGGCGATTCTATATCTTCGGAAGATGTGTGGCTATGCTTCTCTGTTGGCACAACCATACTGTTTCTGATTAGGTTTTCAGTTTTGGTTGTGTTTTTGAGGTTAACTTGAAGAGTTGTGGAAGAAGAAGAAGAAGAAATTGAAGTTAAATCTTTCGAGTTAATAGGGGCTCTATTTTTATGACATAGAATCCTTGGATGATTGTGATTTATTTCAAATCATACTATGGAATATGGTCAATTTAGAGATTACACTTTGATTTTCATTGTTGTCATCTGTAGCTTCTTGATGAAGCTCTAATCAGGGTTTTAATGAAATAGATATACTATATACTGCTGCGAGCATATAGTTGTTAGTGAGTTTGTAACTAAGTCTGTTAGTAACTTAAACTAACTAACAAGTGTTAGTGACTTAATTGGTTAATTAAGTTGATTGTTTAACCAACAAGTTATATAAATGTTGCAAATATGTTTTGAGAATATGAAGGTGTTAGATAAATTTTTTAAATTGATTGGATTCGGGCTGGAATCGTAAATGAATAATTATTTTATTAGTATTTTAAACACTCTCAAATGTCTTAAAGTTTTTATACAGTATTATTTATGATAATTCAATATATATTTGAGTTTGCACAAGATCGATGAAAACTCGAATGTAGAGAAGAGTATCTAAAATTTTATTGAAGAGCATGCACATTTTTGTATTGTGTTTTTTTTGAATTTGGAATGACCAATTTAAAGGCCAAGTTAATGTTGTTTCACAAAGTTGCGACCCTTGATGAAACAACACCCTTTTAACAACACTTATACTAAAATTGTTTTGTTTCATCCACAACAACACTTTTCAAGTGTTGTCTATTTTCATTCTACAACACATCCCTATCTTTAATTCAAATTCAAACTTAAGCAACGACCAAAAAACAAGTGCTTAAGTGCCACCTATAAGTTGCCACTAGCGCTTCTATGTTCACGCCCTCAAACCCGGTCTCGGAGTCAGAACTGGTGTCACAGGTGGCGACATCAGCGAAGAGGTGTATGGAGGAGAAAAATGACATAAGACTTGAGACCACCACACTTGTCCATGAGACTCGATCAGTTGCACTCAACCTACTGTACTCGTCAAAATCATCATGGGCACCACGAGATATATCCATAACGAAGGTTATGTATAACGTTAAGTCGCAAGACCAACCGTGTTACTCTATCGGCAATGTCTTACGCGCCACAACAACACAGAGGCATTAAGCTTTAGCACCCAAAGTGAATATTAGCTCTAAATCTATATCTAGAATCTAAAAACTAATAGATATCCATCTCTAATCAAGATTTATGAGGTATATGTCTATAACAACCCAAATCCAAACATAAAGCAAAAAGATCAAAGAAGACATCAAGATTGATTTGTAAAGAAAGCTTTATACAACACTATGATCAACAAATATACATGTGTTCAAAGTAAATATACAAACAATATCCAACAAAATAGAAATACAAAGAGGGGGGAAGAGATAAACCACAAATCTTCCAGTTTGTCAGTGTCGGTCGAAGAGAAATCTACCTCCAATCATCCATAAGCAAGGCCCTAATGTTGTTTTCTAAGTTAATCTATCAAAAAATAAAGGTTTGATGAGTTGAGAACAAATACCCCAAAACATAACCTAAAAAACATGTTTTCCCCTTTTAACATAATTCAGTCCAGGGGACCGCGCTAAGCGATTAAGTCCCGCTAAGCGTGCTCTACCGTCATGAGAAAAAATCAGCATTTTATTTTAACCATAACTTGAGAACCGTAACTCCAATTTACGTCCGGTTCGAAATTTTGGAAAGCTTATTCAATTATCTATCTAAAAATGCCTAAATATCAACTAAATTGATGATTTCTTATTCTTTGATTTTGAGCCTTATTCATTGACGAGTTGCTCAAAATTGCGCGTTTGAAGCCGTGTCTTCGACACTTTATTGCTCATGCTCCAAATACACATTAATACCTATAAAATAAATGGAAAAACATCAAACGGTATATTATGTACACAAAAATACAAATAAATACAAACTAAACGTATTTACATAAAAGTTGGGTTTATTCAACGATATTAACAACAAAGAGTCAATAAGTGCAACAAAAAATATATACAAAAATAGATACAATTTGTACTTATCACCTACATCTTTCTCCTAGTAAGAACAACACAAAGTCTAATCAGAATGGTAGGTATAAATACTTTGAAACGTTATCCCTTGTGATTAGACTGACATTATCTTAGACACACTCTTTATTGGTTCTTCGCCTACATCTCTTTCCTACTTCTATTTATGGTCATGTGTTTTTCCCGTTTCGTGAATTTTTCGTGAGAGAAACTCCAATTCGCACATCTCATAGGTGACATTCATATTGTATTGATCTTTCTTGATATATATATATATATATATATATATATATATATATATATATATATATATATATATATATATATATATATATATATATATATATATATATATATATATATATATATATTCTCGACATTGAAATTCATTAAGAGTTTGAAAACTCAACCCTTAATATAAAATAGACAATGATGTCACATAATGTTGCACAAACATCCAATTCAACAACTTGTTATCACCCATTGAATCTTAGATTAATGTTTTCTTAACTTCACATTGGGTTGCTACTGTTGTTGGAACTCTAATGCTCTTATTCAAGAAGTTTGAATCCTATATCTCTCGAGTTAGTCTTTATTAAATCTCTGGCCAATGGTTTAGTAAATGGATTAGCTAAATTATGTTGGAATTGAGACTCCATACACAAGAGGGGGGAGGTTAAATTGTGTAGTTTGAAAAAACTTGGTTTTGAAAACTTTTGCTTGGTATATTCAGAGTTTAAAAAAGTTTTCAAATACTTGAGCAACTGAAAGTAAAGTACTGAATTTAAATATAGAAAATAAAAAAAAGATAAAGGGTAGAAAGAGAACACCAAGAGTTATAGAAGTTCCGTCAAAAGAAAAAAGACTTACTCCTCTCCCTAAGATTTGGTCTTGAGATTTTCCAATAATACTTTAGAGCTTTAGAAAGACCCACAAACCCCCTTATACAAGGAAATGATGGTTTTCATACAACCAAATGATATAAGATGATAGATATGCGCGTTTGCATCTTTTCTCTAATAACTTGTCCAGAGTGAAGTGGCCAAGCTTCCTTCCCAACTATAGATTAAAGTGGTTAACATGGACCTTGTAGCAGTTAGTCTTTAAGTTCAAAAATATATGAGCTCCCTTTTGGTTTAATAGGATAACCTAATAATCTTTGAGATTTTAGCCAGGATGATCTCAAACCAATGAAGATTTTGGGACAAGGCCAATCTTTGACCTATAACTAGGACTGATCACACAATCCCCAAAATTAAGCTTTTAACGAGTTTATCTTAGAACCACATATATAATCTCTATTTGGAAAATATTCAACCAAGGTTTATAAATGCTCTTTCTAAAAACACTAAAAGAGTAAATTCCCTGCTAATGATCAGGGAGAGCTGCAAATGACTGGTGTTATACGTTTGCGTGTGTTTAGTCTATGTCTCAGATGATCCTTTCCATACCCAAATTCCCCTTTTATATATGAATTTTTCTTACCTTAAATGCCTCCTTAAAGGCACACCCCTTCGTATCCTTACCTCCTTCATTACGTTGTAACAGTCGCCGCTGCCATGAATGAAGTGCAATCAAAGTCTTATAACATTTGCATTAATGACCCGGTTACTTTTATAATTCTCCTTAGAGTCAGATGAAGATGTGAAGAAAAGACAAGAAAGGGGGTTTGAATTGGGTTTTCCTTTCTTGAATAACTTTCGCTTCTAAGCATTATTGAAGAATGGAAAAACACAAGAAGGGGGGAGGGGGGGTTGAATTGGGGTTTTTAAAACTTAAAGACAAAAGACACGTTGGTTATCCTGGTTTGTTTGAACTCAAACTACTCCAGTACACCCGCCAAGGTGATTTTTCCTCTCTCAACAAGGTCTTAATCTACTAATCAAACTTGATTACACAGATACGATGACAACCGTCAAAGTATTCTTGAGTTTAAACCACAACCCAGTTTTCTCAAGGTATTACACAATACAATATTTGGAAGCATGTACAAGATGTGGTTTCTAACAAAACAGTATCACACAAGTGATGTATTACACAAATGAAATTCAGTAGATTGAAAGTGATGAAATTTCTCGTTTGTTATGCACAGAAAAATCATAAACGATTTCTCCTTCATGTCTTGTTTATATAGGCAATCCATGTGAGGAGATTTTGGAATGTTGATAAATAGTAATTAAAGAACTTTCCAAACATATAGATTCTTGTCCTCTTTCAGCCGTTACTTTTGAATAGCCATGAATGAAATGTAACGCTTCGAACATGCTTGCTAAAGATTACATCAAAAGATGAATGTTACCGTTGAGATTCCTTTACTTCTTTTCAGAACTGTACGAATCAGAATAACAAAGTTCTTGTTCGCAGCGTTTAGTACACTCAGAAGTTATAGCTTTAGAACTTTTTTATATAAGCATGTTATGCAGATTTTTCTTTCTATATAAGATGTGTTGAATCAGAGTTTAAACACGATCTAACTCATCTTCTGTGTTTCTTACATATGAACTTCCCTGCAAAACAAAATACTTATTTAGGGAGCATAATTGTTCTTTGAGTGTTTGTTATCATCAAAACTCTTACAAGGGTTGTAGAATCAAACTATGTTCTAACAATCTCCCCCTTTTTGATGATGATAAAAACTTTGATATTTTGATCAAATACGTAAAGAACATAAGGCATTAAAGTCTCCCCCCTGAGTTGAATACTCAAATAGAGAATAAATACTTCCCTAAAGATTGTTCTGATCAGAGTTTTTGAGAAAAATATTTTTGATGCATCCACATCTGTCCTCAACAGAGTTTGTTCCTGTTTTTCTTTCAGAGAAAAAATAATAGAAGTTATGATATTCAAAATGTTTTAGACTGAGTCTCGATACTGTTATATTCACAATATCTTACGTTCTCCCCCTTTTTTTTC